AGCCGTGAAGATCTTAGTTCAGCATTCGCGCTGTGCGACAGACTTGCTGTGCGTGTGTGCAGAAACACTCTCAGGACAGCATGCGAGTAAAATCATTTGAAGGTTAAAACTGGAATGGCTATAAAACGCTTGTCTACCGATATATACGCCCAGAACTACCGCTACAATGCTAACATATGATGTGTATGTATGTCGTGTCATGCAGTATGTTGTAATGGATGCACCAGAACTGCCACTGGTGCAATTTACGATCAAAGGCAAACTGTGGAGAATTTTTATTTGTTCACGATCAAATATCACACCATGTGTTTGGGGTGTGTCAGACGGCAAAATATAACTACTGTGGACCATCCTTTTTATGCACAGACCAAACAATCTGCCACTCACCATTATTTAACATTCATCTCATAAAAGTAACTGTACAATGTGTATTTTGGTCTCACAAAAGACTCCAGAGTGCACGCACATGTTTAACAGTGCTCATTCGATATGTAGTAAAGTGCCAAATAAAAAAAATCAGAAACTTGTATATTCAGGATATATGATAAAGAAAAGCTCTACTTAACAGTTACTTACCTTCACCGTGGATGAGAAGTCCTCTTCTGAGATCTGGTTTTCTAAAATGGCCACAACAAATTGCGCGTTTCAAAGTTAATCCAGTTCGTCACGTGGTATCTGCTTGGGTCCTAAAAAATTGTTAATTTGACTTTTTTTTTTATTATTATTATTATTGTTGACTTTACTCAAAATTACTTGTTTTTCTTTATTAATTAAAGTAAACCATAAACTCAGTATGTTATGTAACATTTGTAGCTTTAAATAAAGTAATGTGCAAAACTGACATTTTTAAGTAAAATCTGTTTATTTTAATGAGCCATATTTGCTGAGGGCAGACATCTGCTTGGGTCCTAAAAAATTGTTAATTTGACTGACTTTTTTTTTTTTATTATTGTTGACTTTACTCAAAATTACTTGTTGTGTATCTTTATTAATTAAAGTAAACCATAAACTCAATATGTTATGTAACATTTGTAGCTTTAAATTAAGTAATGTTCAAAACTGGATTTTTTTTAAGTAAAATCGGTTTATTTTAATGAGCAATATTTGCTGAGTGCAGGAATCATTTTTTACAGTGTATGTTATCATTACCAGTTGCTACAATGCTGGACTCAGTTTTTAAATCTGTTTATTTGTACAGTAATCTAAATCGGTTAATCTCACTACTGGTAGGCGTTTGCATGACAATTGTAAACTGACATGTTAGCCTACACGTGTCTATGGGAGTCATGGGAAGCGTGGAAATGGAAGTTGGACCGAGTGGGATCAGCAGTGTTTGGAAGAGTTATATTGAAGGAGAAGTGATGAAAGTGTGCATGCGAATGAAGGGGCACGATGTCCTCGTGTACAGAGAGGAAGTGATGGGTCCAGATGCTCTGGGTCAGGTGTCATGACGGATCTGGACCCCGAGGACAGCTGGTGCCCGCTTGAGAAAGAGAGATACAGATCCACTGTCACTGCTGTGAGTCTGGAGTCACTGACACGACGGCCAGAACAAGCATCGTTCCAAGCACTTTCTGCTAGGCCTGAAGCATAGATCAATAGTTAGTCCTGCAGAAGACTTGTGTATGAATCTTAATTGCTGTCAGCTGCCTGATACTCTGAGCGTTTGAGCAGTTCTCAGTAGAGAGATTTTTTTTTTCAAACTGCAGGCGAAGACTCACAGATCTTTAAACTTTCTTTTAAGCTCTGTCTGAGGACGAATGATGAACATTTTCCTATAGTTAAGTAGCAAGAAATGTTAGCACATTACCAAAGCAAACACTATCAGGTTTTCTTTTGCTTGAAGTGGAATTCATCTTCATACTGACTCTTTGTTTAGTGTGAAGTATTTAAAGAGAAAGTGAAACGAGATGGAGTTTGCACATGAATGATCTATTCACGTTGAAAGAAACGAATATGCATTAAGTGGAATGAAATGCAAATTCAGTGCAACACAAGCTATAAGAAGAGCTGTGTATAAGTGAAGCAAGTTAAACACTCGGTTCAGCACAACAAAACCAAACGAACGAAACAGACTTTAGCGTTTACATCACATAAGCAGCAAAGCATGGTAAATAAATAAATTGAGTCTATAAAAAGTGTTTTATAATTTAATTAATTATTTAATTATTGCAGCTTTGCATAAAAGTCAGAGTTTGAATATCCCAGTGTTTGAATATAGAATATTAATATAGAATCTGTTTTGCACGAGTGAGAGCAAAGAATGCTGTTGCTGCAGAATCTGCCTCTGTTTGCTGTCTTTACATATAATTACACTTCATAATTTATTTTTTAGTGCAATCCAAACAAGTTTAACCTGACCCTTACATTTTTTTTTTTTTTTTTACTTTACCCTTTTCATATTACAATCTGTAAGTACTAGGGTTTTTTTAATTGACCAGGTCAAATTGAAACGGTGGATACAGATTTTGTATTTTATTCTGTGAATTAATCAGCTTGAACGTTGTGTTCATCAGTCAGTGGTTTCTCGTGCACAGACACACGGTTGCAGCAGAAGTGAGAGGTGGTGGTGAAGCACAGCACAGGGAGAGCGGTGGGCGCCTCCGACAGGATCCGCCATTGATTCTGACTCTTTAGCGCTGTAATTCTGTGTATTATAGCTTGTCTGTTAATGGCTCATAGAGCTGTCTAAAGAGATTCCGCTCTGTTCCCCCGTCAGTCAGGATCTCGTCTCATCCCTGAGGTCACTCTCAGATAGCAGGTTAAAGGGTTAGTTCACCCAAAAATTTAAATTAGCCCATAAATTACTTACCCACAAGTCATCCTAGGTGTATATGACTTTCTTCTTTCAGACGAATCCAGTCGGAGTTATATTAAAAATTGTCTTTGATCTTTCAAGCTGTTTCATGGCACTCAGCGGGTGTTGCATGCATCAGTCCAAAAGAAGTGAAATAAAAAGCGCCCATCCTTAATAAAAAGTGTCTCACACGGCTCCGGGGTGTGAACAAGGGTCTCCTGTAGCGAATCGATGCGTTTTTGTAAGAAAAATATTCATATTCAAAACGTAATAATCACTTTAATCTAGCTTGAGCTCACTGTTTTACACAGAAGCAGCTCCGGGAGGATGACGTATGAGGTCGGCATTCAGTTAGGCTAGTTTCTATCTATAGCTGGAAGAGGAGAAAAGAGAATGTAAGTTGGAGGCTAATGACAGTTTGCTGCAGAGATTTGGGCTAAAGATTTATTTTAACCAGCGGAGCCAGTTACACTCCAACAATGCAACTTCAACTTCAAGAGCACTTAATTTTCCTAGCACTGTTTATTTGTTAATAAATGGAGCTGTTAAAAAGTAATTCCGTGAAAAATATGAACTCAGCAAAATAAATAGTGCTGTGATTTTTGCTTAATTGTAAGTAATTGCGTTGCTCCAGAGACACTGTACAAATGCAATGCAGAGAGAGGAGAAAACTGGTCCTGTTCACAAGTGTTCTCACCGTACCATAAAAGCATCAGCGCGTTCATAATTAGCCCTAAGTATTATTGACATGGCAGTAGAGTTAGCTGCTCATGGGTTCATCAGCAGAGAGTGTGTTTGATGCAGAGGGACGCTGATGTACGCGTGAGCCGGCGAAGACCTGTGGATTCAGAGAGGGTGGTTTTCTTTTGACGTGAATGATGGCTTGATTTGCATGCTAAAGCTGCAGCTGCCCCGCAAGATGGATGAGGCTGTCGCTTCAGCCCTCACTCCTTTCACAGTGCTCCTATTAAGATACAATGCAGATAGAGGCAAGACTATATCAAAATGATAAACATTTATATAGCTTGTGGTGAAGACAATCACTCCTTGTGGGGTGATCTCCAAAAAAATAAAAAGTCTGTTTGTCCTGATAATTTGCTCAGTGGACAACAGCACAAAGAGATTAAATGTTTACTGGATTGAAACATTATAATTTTTCTGTTGTTTTCATCATTCAACACAGTAATTGTTAGTATTCATCTGTGTTGTGTTCACCGTTTACAATGAAACTAACTAGCATTCTCTGCTTGTGCATGTCCTACACATCTGAATGGTTTTGCTTTTTGTCTTAAAGAATTATTTTATGTCCTGTTGGTCAGCTGGTAGAGCATGGTGCCACATCTCAACATCCACTCAACAAGGTTCTCGTTAGTGTAGAGACAGTCAGTTAAGCCGAAACTGACAAACAGAAATGACAAACTTTACCCTGCCCAATGACTTTATGTGCATAATATGTTGCATAAAATGTAAATCACTGGCTCTGCACCCCTTTACCTAAATTCACTACTTCAGAATTATGTGTCCTCCAGAAGCTTGTGTTCTGCAAGTGAACGACGCATTATAGTGCGTCCCAAAGAGACACAAAATCACTTTCACGGACTTTTACATTAAATGTTCCCTCCTGGTGGAATGACCTGCCCAACTCAGTCCCAGCAGCTGAGTTACTTAGCCATCTTCAAGAAAAGGCTAAAAACACATCTCTTCCAATCTACACTTGACCCTCTAACTCTAGCACTCTCTATTCTATTTCTATTCTATATTTTTGTTTTCTTTTTATTTATTATAAAGTAATGACCCTCTAACACTAGCGTTTTCTATTTTTTTTCTATTCTTTTGACTTTTTTTATTTTTATTTAAAAAAAGACCCTCTAACACTAGCTTTCCCTATTCTTTTTCTATTCTATCTGCTTGTTTTTTCTTTTTGTTTATTATAAAAAAAGAACCTTGCTACATGCACTGCGTTAATCTAACCCGGGCTTGTCACAACACTTACATATTATTGCCCTTTTGTTGGTTTGATTACTTCTATTTTCCTCATTTGTAATCGCTTTGGATAAAAGCATCTGCTAAATGTAAATATAAATGTATATGTCAAATGTATGAATGACTTTTGAATGGACAGCAAAGATGAAGCAGTTTTGAGTTATTGAGATGAATGGTTCATTCAGTGCCCTATTGCTAATGTGTGTTTATTGTGTTGCAGCACTTCTTACAACCAGACCACCAAAAGTCCTGTTCCCATCAGAGAGACAGGCCAGCGTCATAGACGTCCAACTCGGTGAGTCCTTCCTCACCATCACAAACACACACACACACACACACACACACAC